TATATAAAGTATGTATATAATTATCCATAAATCATTAGATAAATGAAGATAATAATTATGATACGAAAATTCTAATAATGTTACTAGCAATTTTTTACATATTATATTGAATTTGTAAAAAAATAATCGAATTTAAAATATTAAGTTAGGTTAAGATAAATTAGGTTAGATTAGAATTCATTTTTCAATTTGTTTCTTTATAATAAAATAATATTTAAATTATATTCATATAGCTTTTAATTAATGCACATCAAATAGGATTATCAAGAATCGATTGAAATGACAAATGATATGATATTCAACAAGTTTACATACTCCGTGATTGGCCAATGTTTTTTGTTAATAATTTCGTAATAAAGTCGAAACAAAAATTTTTATAAAAAAAAGTTATTTAAAATTATCTCAAGAATCTTCGATTATTTTATATATTTTTTTCAGATTTTCTATAATTTCTATATAAAGATAAAACGGAAAATATTATTTTATATTTTCTACTTTTTTTACACAAAGAATGAAATTATTAAGAATAGAATTAAATTATAATTATTATAAATATATATAATAAAAATTATTATTATAGGCATCAATATTTATATGTGTTACTCTATTAACAGTACATTTAATTATATTTTATTTATAGTTTTAAGTTTTAAATTGACATACACAAAATATGATTATTAAAAATTGGTTGAAATAATATATATATATATTATATTTTTTTACTTTTATAAAGAATCAAATTATTATAATAGAAGTCAATATCAGTACATTTAATCATTTATTTCTGAATGATTTTACAGATTACTGAAATGGGCCATTTCATGCACAACAACCAAATAATACCATTTACCCAATTATTCAGCTGATAATCGAAGTAAACACCTTTCAAACACCTTTCTCTGCAAATCTCGATGAAATTGTCAGCCAAGGTTAAAAGAAGAGGGTTAAAAGAAGATGATATAAGAGTAGATAGTAGTTACGGCCACGATTACTTGGAAGATGATAGGATAGAAAGGTTGGAACTGAGGAAGGACGAACCGGTGTGCTGTGAGCGGCGAGCGAAACCCGGAAAAGGTGGAAGGGTAGTAGTTATCTCGCGGGTTCGCGTGGGAGGTCACGTTGGATAGAGGGTAGGTGAGGCGACCCACGACCTTCGACCAATCACGATTCTAGCTTGAAACTGGGCTGCCAATGGGGATGCCGGTCGGTGTGACCTCGTGCGCGATTCTCCTTGCACTTTATCACCGAGAAACCACCCCCATCAAGTGGAAAGGTGGAAGCTCACCTTTCCACGCCGGCACAAGCGAGACAATGTTTCTCCTTTCGCCAAATCGGTCGAAACGATCAAGGTGATAGGTTGAACAGTGAAATACAACTCTTTCATCTTTTTCTCTTCTTTTTTTTAGAAGCGTTCTTCACACATAATCGTTGTTTCGAGTGTTTCACTTTTCGTGTTGGCTCAATTTTTGATTAACTCTCCATTTAAATTATTTATATTATCAGTATTAATAATTTTGCTTATGACATATGATTTGTGATATTTATTTATTTTTATTAGTTATTAATTATTATTTATTACTTATACTATTTTTTGATTTTTAAATATTCAAAATATTTAAAAATATCTTTTTCTTTTCTTTTTAGATGCAGCTTAATGCTTACATACGTCGCTGATTGTAAAAATTATAATTGTTAAAACGAAAAGTACAGAGTTTAAGATAATACATTGTGGAAGAAAGGAAAAATTTTCATTTTAACAAATTATCATCGTAATACGATTTATGGTATAACAAATTTCCATTTCATAGCAAAAATTTTAAACTGATTTTTTTAAATGAAACTAATAAAATAGATATATGTAATATACTTACGTGTAATATCTATTTGTTGATGTATCTAGAAAATCTTTTCTTTCAAGTTTGATATTTTCGTCGAGTTCATTTCCAGGTTGCTCAGTAGGAACAAAAGGGAAAATGATATCAAAGCGACACTAGGGAGTAGTAAGGGTGTGTCTTTATCTTCGTTATTGCCAGTAGTGGGTCCTTACCGATTATCCTGAATTGAAGTGCCTGCATTAAGAAAGATACAGATCCACTTGTAACAACTTTAGAAAACTCAAAAGAAATTTATTTTTATATTAACAAAAAAAAAAAAAAAAAGAAAACAAAAACACTTAATTTGGAGAACATCATGTACACATCTTCTTTTAAAATATTTTTTAATTTTTGTACTAATCTCTTTTTTGTTTTCAGGTGCATCTCATGTTGAAACGGCAATTACCACCTATAAAAGACCGAATCGAGACAATGAATTTGAATAATCGATCTACCTCGAGTAAGGCGATTAACTATCGACAGAGATCGTCACACTCGGCATCCTTCTCTCGAAACCTCCTTCCAGAAGATTCTCTCAAGGAGGATACGTTCCGATCCGACGTTTCATTAGTTCCTTAATGCATCCTTCGGGTCGTTGCTGCTCTCAAGGAAAAGGATCAACACTTTTTTGCTTCGGAACGATGCGTCAGGGATGCACGGCTCTTATGTGCCAGAGTGACTGATGAACCATCGACTAATTACCTCCTCTATGTGTCCTGTAATACGAACGTATTAATAACCTGCATTTATATATATCCGTGAAAAATGACCGCTTATCTCGCTTCACGGGCACAAAAGGATGGTTGGTCCGTTGTGTTTAGAAACGAGTTGAGAATACGATAGAAGATGGAATTATATATCTGTACGAGTCTTGCTTGTTGGAACGAAATTTTGTCAATGCCCCGATTCATCCGTTATCTGCTGTGATATTCAAATTTTATTTTTGTTCCATCAAGTTGCGTCATTGTTGAGTTTATAGCGTGCTTTAATTATTATCTTGTCTTGTTGTTGTTCACAAACAATTTGGGAAATTTTCGTTAATGCTATGATACATCAAATTTTTATTTTTATCACGTTACACGTGTATTTATATCGGTGGATTCACCAACCAATTTTTTTGAATAGAAAATTTTATTTGGAAAAATTGTGAGGTTAATTATAGACAGAAAATTTATGAAGAAAATTTTTGAAGAAAAATGTTTGTGAATAATGGATGATTAAGTGAACTTTTATACTGTATTGGAGAAGGATAACGGCGGAAAGTTACGAAATCGAACTTTTTCCTATACATACGTTTATTTATTCGATCTAGAAAAAGTAGTTGGTAGATTCAAAAAAGACGTTTCGAAAAGATCAAAGCTTGGCGGTGCTCGAGCGCGTTCTACTTCGGCTTTGACTAATAAAAAGCGAGCTTTGCATTTTTTACAGGCGACTGCGCTTAGAAAGCGACGAGAGACGGAAAGTTGAACGACCACCACCTTGGTCTTAACCGTAATCCCGAAGAGTGACGAGCGTCAAAGCAATGCGGGGATTCTTCAACTATATTACTATATCCTCTCTGTGTCGCCTTCGTTTATCAACTTTCTCTGTCTCTCCGTCTTCTCTGCCATTCCTCCGTGATAAACGAAAATTGAAAGAAACGAATATCGAACGTACAACTAATTTAATCTTAAAAGAACACGAATACGTTGCCAGGATAAAACTTTCGTAAGAGGATGAAAAGTGAAAATTAACAATCGCTTTAATACACAAATAGTTTCTAGCTGCGAAAAAATACTAGCAGCTCTAGAGAGTTTTATTCTCGAATCTACTGTTGCAATATTCCATGATAAAGCTTCGAGGTTATACATTCTAAATGTAGTTTGAATTTTGAAAAATTTCTAAATTATACGTGTATACACATATTTGCAATCAAAATTAGGATCGATGAAGCGAGCCAACGAAAAAAACATCATCCACTATCTATTTCAGTGATTCGGTCGATTTTCCTCGAAGCACTTTGGAAATATTAAACGGTGGGATGCAATACTGTCGAGTATGGAACGTAGGGTGTAAGAGATTCGCGACAAAGCTGCGGCAAGTTCAAAGCATTCCTAACTCGGTACTCACCAGTTTTGCTCCTCTCTAGCACGAGCATTACTCTCCTCATTGTCGAACCACCCATCTCGAATCTCGTTTCGTCGAGCTTTTACCGATCGAGCGTTCAATTTGACGAGACTCGAAGCCAGTACTGCACGGGTTCGAAAGTGAGAAATGCGTGTTAACACGATGCTTGTGAGAGAGATAGAGAAAAATATATTAAACGACTTGAGCAGATGTATGGGACGTCCTCCGCGCAGATTCGACTCGTGATATTCCGGATATATGTGTATCGAGCGACGCGAACGACCGACCGGAAGTAATTAGATCCGCATACAAAACTCCCTCCGGAAGGGTCGAGTCCTGGGGAGGGCAACCACCGATCAGGGCTAAAATCGGTTGCGGTCGATAATTTCGATCGTGCTTTCGAATATTTCGCGTGAGACTTACTTTTGACATTTAATTGAAATTGCGAAGTTGAAGAGGGATTGCTTTGCACGAAATTTGTCGATAGTTATTTACAAAAAAGTACTCTCACTCTTCGATTTTTTTAATATTAAGACTTTACTGGCGATTGTTACTCGTTTTCGTAAATAGGTATTTACAAAAAAAAAAAACAGATTAAATCAGGTTTTAATCAAACTTATTGTTATAAACAATTGATTATTACCCGATTAAGAAAACTAGTTTAAGCACATAGTGTAAATCATAATTGAATCGACTGATAGTTAAAGTATAATTTTTATTTACTTTTAATTTAGGATAAAATTAAACTTAAAAATTTATTTAATTTCTGGTTCCGCAACATTATTCAAAGCAATGATCTTAATAACGTATTAAAAAATTATCGATACTTTTTTTAAATATTCATCAATTTGTCACGAGACATATAGCAAATCGTATTTTTCTTGGAACGTAAGGAAAATCTTTCCTATTTGGTGAATAATTCTTATTTACGTTTCAATTTTATTAAAAGTAGGTGGCTCGTCACGATCTTTAACCTGTCGAGAAAGAGGAGAGGAAGCAAGTTTGAGCGGGCCTTTTTATGAAAATGACCACTTAAGGGAGGGAAGAGCGAAACGAATAAAAACTAATGTATGCGGATCGTGGTTGAGATGGGATATCGGCCCGATTTACATAGTCCGCTTGAACCGACTTGACTCGATTTGCCGCGGGACGAATACACTCTGCTGAGAATATATCGATGCGCCGTTACGTAGACCAACACAAAATTGCTTTTACCTCCTATTAACAATTCATATTTCTTATGCGGGAAATCGTCCATGGTAAAAAGTTAGCGACAGGGAGATTTTTCTTTCTTCCAGGTTGAGGAAAATCGAGGGTGAAAGAGAGAGAAAAAAAGAAAAAGCGAGGACAAGCAGTTGAAAAGAAGAAAAGTTAAAGAGCGATTCAATTTGAGTGTAATATAAATATCCAAAAAGAAATATTGTGTTGTTATATATTGATAAAAAGGAGGAAAAATGTAGATTTTGGATTATTTTCTAATTTTCTAAGTTTAAATAACTTGTCATGATTAAAATAAGTAATTAGATAATTTTTGCAAAAATTTATATTGTTTTGATGTAAACAAATCACGGGATGATTATTTAAATAAGTACCATTTTATTCATTCTTACTTTTATTGTAATTAATTAAAATAATCTTCACAAGAATTTCACCACTTTATAAAAAAATTCTATCAAATAACAAAATTTCTCCATAACCTATTACGTACTCCATACTCGCGATATTTCACATAAAATATTTTACAGAATAACAATAAAACGCACGAACATCTTTTACGACTGACTATATTCAACTTCTTTTTGTCTAAACGTATCTTGACGATCCTTTCGTTACAGAGGTGATAAGATAAGACGATTCGACGACACTTTTTCAATGGGAAAGAGGAATTTAATAGTATCAGTGGTATGATCGATGCGAGATAGTTGACACGAAATAGCGAAGATTACGTGTCGGAGATGGAGGGTGTATGACCGCGCGGTGAACAAACGGTGTTTCGAGAGATGAGCGATCGTTCCCTCGAGAGCAAACGAGAACTAAACGGGAAAAGACGAGATGGGACGCGAACGCTTCACCACCCTGTCGAAAGTCGCTCGCCTTATCGCCTCCTAAGGGTCTATTGTCGACCCGGCCACTAATGGAACGATATCCAGCCAAGATCACCAGTATCGCTGCACTCTCTTCGATTTTAGATCGGTCTCTTCTAATCTTTTGGAATTGTGACTTGTAATATTCTTAACAACTTAACCTATAAAGGAAAAAGATTAAAGAAATTAATCTTATTAGCGGAATTGTTTTAATTTGAGTTAATTTGAGTTAAAAGTGGAAGAATTTTAATATATCTGTAGAATATAGTAATATAATTATATTATAAACAAATAAGTGTTTAACCTATAACTGGTATTGTGTATCTTATATTTGATATAAGTTTTAAATATGTGTTTTGAATAAGGTATGAAAAAATATATAACTCTCATTACTATTCTAATTTATATCAGAAAATTTAAACTTAATTTAATACTGAATATTTTTAAACGAGTTTCTGAGACTTCACAACACCATTTACATATCAAAAGTGAGACGATGTTGGTTATGTTATATTAAAATCGTTTATTAAAAATTTCTTTACAAGTCATGATTTATAGATTGAGAACCATTGTACTTACTTATAAATTCATGCGTATTTTATTCCATTTCTAAACTTGATTATTATAAACAAAGATAAAAAATGATACATCTATTCCCAAATATAATTAAACATTTTATATTTTTTCCAATTAGGCAATCACGAAGCAAACGAAAGCGATCCTTCTTCTCTCCAAGCATAGAAGAAAAAATTAGTGGAATAAAACGAAGTGGAATAATAGAATAGGCAGTCATGAATGCAAAGAATTCGAAACGCCAATACGCGAGCGAGGCGAACAGCAGACAAGCCTGCTAACGAAACGAAACGAAGTAAAAGAGAGCGGGAACGATACTGTTGGGTTTAGAGGGTATAGCCGCAGGTGTTTACGAACGAGTAACCGAGAATCGGAAGCCGCGAATCGGAAAGCCGATCGAACGAATCTGGAATAGCATCTGCGGGGTGGACCACGGCCACTGCACCCCCTCTGAATGTGACAATCGCGTCGCGTCGCGTCCGTCAACGAGAAGGGAATAAAAAGAACCCTGGGTGGGTTTTGCTCGGCGGAAAGGGGGGACGGAGGGCTAGCGTTGGAGACCGACGAATCGACACACAGGCTGTTTTAAAACGAGTGCTATCGATAATCGAAATCGCTCGGGGGGTTGCGGTTGCCCGGGGCTCTGGGGTAAATCTCGCTGTTCCGACCCCCTTCCTCCTTCGATTGTGCGAATCGTGGCTGTTCTCGTCTGCACGATATCGTACGTATGCGTATTTCTCGTGAAACATGGAGAAACCTTACCTAGAAATGTACAAATTACAGTTAATTGAGTTGTATCGAGGAAAGGATTCATTTCGATGTTTCGTGATTTGTGATGTTTATGGAATAATATCTTCATCGATTTGGATGATCTTAAAATATTTTATTGAGCATATTATTTTTAATGATGTTTCTATGTGTACAGTGATTCATACAGTAGATTTACATAGATATATATAGATTTTTTTTATTAACTTAACCTAACTTAAATTAATCTATTCAATTATCGATTGTCTCTTATTTTTGAATAAATTTACAAATGAATATTGTTATGTTCGTAAAATTTCTTTACATTTTTTATCTTTAAAAAATATTATTATTTATCGATGTATGGATTATTCTCCTTGTTATTTTTAGTTCCAATCTATTCATTTCATTATCACTATATTGCGGATATTTATGTTTATGCATTTATAAAAAAATTTAAATGTCCAAAAATTTAAAATGCATAATAAAATATTCAAAGCAAAATGTTACATTATAATATTTAAAGAGTGAAAAAGTTTTTTATTTCAATTTTATTTTTATAGTTGTGTTTATATAAATTTAATAACACATGTCATATAATTATCACAAAAAAGACATTGTTATATCACATAATTTACGTCTATATATTCCAGCTATCACACACTTTTCAATCTTCATACAAATGTCACAAAAGTAGGAGAAAAATTCAAACGAACTGACGAATCTCGATCGTTCATTTACATATTCCGGAAGCAGCTAACGATCAACGCGATGCAACGAAAGATATTTGAACAGGAAATCCGATAAGCAGCACGGTGGAACAAAACAAAACTGAAGTCGATTCGCGGCTATGTCCATCTGGTATACTCGTTGTCAACCTAACGTGCGACCGAAACGATCGCGGAACAATCGATGAGTCGCAGGATCGATAGTTATCGCAAGGCAGATGCACGGTCGAAAATCAGGACACGTTCACACGCGAGCATTCGGACAGAGCATTGACTACGAGCGTAAATCGTACGCACCACCTGTTTGCATGATTGCCACTATGTGCACACTGTAGCGAAACGATTCGATCGCGAGTTGCATCTACTTGAATCGTATATATGATAATAATCGTACAAACATAACATTATGATCGATTTAAACTCGAGCTAAAGATCATGGTTAAATCTATCGTGAGAAACGAAACAGAATGAGATATATATATCGGTATGTACTACTTATTGAATATGAATTTGCATATATTACTGCTTGATATTAATAATGGCACAATTAAAAGAATTTCAAATTTGTTTTATTGAATATATAATATCTATTCTTATATAAATTTATGAAAAACCACAATAATTAATTAATAATTATATATAATAATAATAAGAAGAAGATTGTATTTGATATTTTCAAAAATGTAAATTCAGCCTCCCTATAATTTATATTTGGAATTATATCTTTATTAATGCCAAGCAGTGATATAGTATTTATGAAACATATTTTTATATACTCAAAAATAAAATACAAAATCGATATATTTTTTTTCTTTTTCTCATTTTTTTGAAAAAACTCAAATAGAATCATATGATAAACCTAACCTAAATTGACAAAACTTGTCTTATATTATTATTATACATTTATATCTTTTTAAATCAGTGTCTCAAGTTATGTAAACGTAAACTTTATTTCGAATCATATAAATCCGAGAACAAACGTGATAATATCAATAATCACTTGTAAGTTTGTTTAAAAATAAAAGACAAGCCCATTTTTTAAAATATATGATATGTGAATGAATCTGTATACTATTAACTTTAAGAAGTGGTTTGTCTTTTATTTCTAACCAACCTTACAAATAAATATTAATATTTATTATATTTAATTATCATTGTATAATCATTTTATTTACTTTCATTTTCATTTTCATTTCAGAAAAATAATGTTAAAAAAATTAGTGTTAAAAAATCAAACGTGGTTCCATGTTGGCATTGTTAATAGCACAATTCAAAAAATTTCAGATTTGATTTTATAAAGTATATTGTTCACATTATATTTTATATTATTTGTTCACATTATTTATATATAAATTTATTAAAAACCACAATACTTAATTAATAATTATTATTATGATAAATTGAATAAAAAAAGAATATTAACTTTCAGAATATAGAATATATGACAGATATATACAAAGGGAGAGACAATCGAATTCTATTTCATCCCTTCGTCCAACTTCTCAACTGATGGAAAGATTCCTCTGGTTGGGAATGCGCATCTCTCGTATTGCCCCCTTTGGTGGAACGATGGTGAGTTAAATGTACCGAAGTTCAGATAATAAACAACAACAATAATACGCTGTCGAAATAAATAACGGGCGACGAATACCGCGGGAATATGAAACTTTTGTCCTCGAGTGGCACGCACGGTCGTTCGTCATTCCCGGGAGTCGTTTCACCGCATCGGAATCGATAGCCTGCGAAACGATATACTCGTCCTTTTTTCTCACCCTTTCCACTTTCTTTCATCTTTGTTTCAACCATCTCTAGTGGAAATTTCGTCGATGAAAATGAATCGAAAGAAGCGATCAGATTCGAGGACGAGTAACAACTCTACGAACGAAAGTGAGAGTGCCATCTTGAAAAAAGAAGAAGTAAATTCGAAGATGTTTTGCATATAACATGAATTTTTGAAAATTGAGTATAATTTGATGTATATGCATGTTTCATCAAGAAATTTCAACTTTAAAATAATCAGTATCACTGTCATTTATACTAATCACTATCTTTCAAAATTTCAAATATATATTTATAATAAATGAGTCACAAAATTGAATTAATTATTATTTTTTAAAATTTCAGATAATACGTCATCGTTTCAAGAAAACTCACTATTGGAGTGATCTCCAAATTCGGTCATAATTTAAAGAAAAGTCATTATTGGAGATCGAATTAAGATTGATTTTTTGGTAGAAAATCGAAGAACAGTATATTTGACCGAAAAATGAGAAAAGTGTACTTATATATGAGTGTGAATATATTACGTAAAACTAAAAGATAGTAACAAGGTTGTGTTGGAGAGACATCGGAAGACATGGATGGAGAGACATGGAGGAGTAGTCGAAAGAGAGGCAGCTCGGTTCAATTTGACGAGGTGTAGGTAAACAGGGGAGATCCGGCAAGTTTGTTTGGCTGTGGAGGCAACTACGGCGACGTCCTTTAATTACGTTAGCACGTAACATCGGTGTAACCGGGGTTCAGAGTATCGGTTCTCTTCGCGAACTTAGTGACGGCGAATGGCGTGTACGCGTTCGCCATCGCCTTTAACCATGCTTCGCGACTCGTGATTTAACGCTGTCTGCGTAAACAAAAGGGGTGCCCTTTACAAATAGTTATCGTTTCTGTCTGTTATTAGAGGTGCAGAGGATAAAAAGAGATATTTATACACTTGATTTTTTTTTGCGATAATTCTGCAAATAAGTATGTAAATATAAATTTAAATGTAAATATATTAAATATAATTAGATAAGCAAAGTGCAAATTTTTAATATAAAAAGTAAAAGAATATTGTATAAATTATTATTTGTAATAATTTTATTATGAATATGATATGCGTATGTATATATATATATATATGCAAAATTTTAATAATAAGAAAAATAGAAGAAATAGAAAAAAACTAGAAAATTATTTATGTTTATAATTTTAAAGAGATTATAAAAAATCCATTTTTAAGTGTTTTAAAATTATCCAATGTAACATATGAGACATTTTATATTCTGCTGAAATATATACATGATAAATAATAAATGTATACATAGAACAGGTAGAACTATGAAAAAAAAAATAGAAATATGAATACTATCGAGGGAATTTATTTATATATTTAGGTTATAATACTTTATCTAATAGAAATTACTGGAATGTAAATTTTTTCATCAAAAAAAATTTTAATCAAAGATATTTTACAATTATAAAATACAAAAGGAGCCATATTCTTCATAAACAAAATTTAATTATTAATTCGAGATCGAATTTCGATACGCTTTCAAAACCTAAAGAGTTAGACTACACAGTACCATTTAAAAAAAAGAAACAAAACCTCAAACTGGTATGCAAAAAGAGAATGCTTAGAACTATGATGCCGATAAAGGAATAGGATTAAAAGAATAGGGGATGAAGACGAGCAGAAAATCCAAGAGGAAGAGAAGAGGTGGGAAGAAAAGGAAGAAAGTACGAAAAGGCGCGCGCGTATCTTACATTCAAAATAGCAGGGATAAGGCTAAGCTCAGGGATGTGACGAAGGCGGACAGTGGCAGGAGTGTCGAAGTGGTCCAAGTCGAAAGTCTACCGCTAGGGAAAATCCGTGAGGTGGGGTACGTAGGTTGTAACATGCAAATTTGAACCTTAAGGGTTTTATGTCGCGGCGATATCTCTGAATCATCTCCCCTTCCTTCGGCCACTGCGTCGATGGTGGCCCTTAGAGGATTTCGACCGATTTTATCCCAAGTAGAATTGTCTGTCGCGTTTCGAGAAGAAGGGGGAGATCGTTTTCATCGGTCGATTCCTCTTTTGGATCGCGTCGTTAGCAGATGCTATCCACGGTTATCTTTCCGGTTGGTTTAAGGAGCTACGAAGGCTCGTTTTCGATGATCCTCGATCACTGGTAAAGTGCACGGGATTCGATAATAAAATTTCAAACTCTTTTAACTTATTCTTATTATATTTATATTTATTTTTCTTCTTAATTTTATGAGTACGGAATTCCACCTATTGATATGTATTGGTTAGTTAATAAACTAAGAAAGGTAGATTATGATTATTTTCATTATTTATGGAACTGAAAATGTCTTTTTTTCATTGGCTAATAAAAAATAACTGGTAATAGTGCTTTATCTATATTTCTAAAAAATTTTAGAAATGATTTTGTCGAATAATCTTTAAAGTATTCTTGATATTGGCCTCATCAGAATTACAATGGAATTTTTCTTAGTAAAAAAAAAATAGTAAAAAAAGTTAGTAAAAAAAATAATTATATTGAAATATTATAATAATAATAAAAATAATAAGAATTTTTATAAAAATTATTTCACAAAACAATTTCTAAAATTTCGATACATAATTCCCAATAAAAATATTAATGTAAATGTGACCATAATGAAAATCAACAATGTATAATAATAAAGTATCGGTGCATTCCTAATAAGCGTAATAATTTGAAGATGACCACAGTGACATCTAACAACGAATTAAATAATAATATTACTAGAAAAAAGTTCATGAATTTTATCGTGTGTCAGATCTCTTCATATATCATCAAGAGAAGATTGCGTATATTTGGAGGGTAGTTTAGTGATTTCAAAGTTTCACATGGATCGTTTCACGAGTTGTCGGAAACGCGTCGACGCGGTGTTATCGGGGACTTTTCGAAGTTGATTTTGGTAGTAGGAGAATGACGTAAAAATATTGGACCGATGGTTTGAGTTTCGTGAGTGCGTGTGGCGTGTTTATGAAAACGAAACATGGCGTATCCGATTCAATTTAGATCGTTATCTCGATCGGCGCATACCAATAAAAATGCGGCGTCCCATGAATTACGAGGCGACCGTATTAAAATGGTTCGCAATTCCATATCTGATTCTGGTTTCCGGTAGACGTTATATAACCGACTGGGTTAATTTTTTCATCGGGAAATCATTGTTTTCCCGACTCATTCGATGGGTGGTACATAAAATAATGGTTAGATAACACTGACGACAGTAATTGTGAGTGCATTGATAATTATCATTGGCGAACTTTGTGATCGTTATAATGTTTGTTTGAAAAACTTTTTTCTAAAAAATTGGAAATCAGTGTCAAACAATATCATATGGTATCAATGAAAATAATAATGTCGAATAATTGACTGATAATTATCATAAATTAATTTTATGCTGAAATGTTCGTTTGTAAAGCATTCGAGAGAATAGATTGTATCATAGATAAATATTTGTGTATATATGTACTTAGATAGATATTTATAAGGATGATTTAATGAAATGAAAAATTTGATAAGACTTGTTCTGTTTATATGTTGAATATTGCTTATTTGTATAATAATGACATAATTTAAAAATTAGAAAAAATAATTTTAAATGTTACGCTAAGATTTCATCATAGAAATTTTTCGTAGAAACTTCATAGGAACTCGCCAAACTGTATTCACTAGAGTTTGATAGGAACTCGCCAAACTACTTCATAAGATTCTCGTATAAAAATTTCAAATTAGAAATATATAATTTACCGCAATAATTTTCCTTATGATTCAAAAACTGCAAATTATTAATTCTTTCAGATCATCTTTGCGGTACAATGATATAAATCTCACAATTGGTCCAAGTATCATCAGCCGAATGTTTCGGACATATATACGAAGCAAATTCAAAGATTGGATTAAAGTATCTTATAAATCGGTGTGGTTGGTATGCACGTCGAGGCAACGTAGGACCTAAGTAAGTAGTAGTTACCTAGGACATAGATCGATCACGCGGATTTTAATATCTGGGGCCACATTGGCCAGGCATTCGGTAGTCACGAGGCGCTTCACCCATTCATCATAGTAACGTAGTAGGTTAGAGCGCGGAGGGCGCGCGATTAGAATCAGTTACCCTTTACTTGCGCGCGGTGGTGATGGGTAACCCTTGATATCCTGGACAAGGATATCCCCTCGGGTGCCATCTGCCAAGGCCTGTTCCTTCTATCTTCTACCCCGTTTTCGACCCGCCATTTCACCGCGAAAGAGACCGTGCACTCCAAAAATTAATAACCCCTGTCCCTTGGCCCCCTGCGACTATCCACCCCTTACATCTTCTTTTTCTACTCGATACATCCAATGATAATACCGATTTCACCGATAATCACGTTCACGAAATGTTCTAATTATATGTATCGTGACAAAATTAAAAAATTGTCGTTTATTAACATGATAATAACGAAAAAAAAATTTTAATAATCATTTTTAAATTGTTGTTTCGACAGGTGCATTGTTTGTAATTGAAAATGGATCAGTTTTGTTAAATTATTGATTTCTGTAGCAAAAAAGGACAGATTTTAGATATATTGATATATGTGTCAATCGATTGACATTAATTAGGTTAGGGAAGAGTTTGATATTGATTAATATCTGTTTCATTTTTTGCATAAAATATTAACATTTTTTTAAATAATAAATGAATATATTATTATAATTCAATTAATTGTTACGTTTCTATTTTATTATTTTCCTATTTTATATTTTATCATTGCAAGGTATATTGTAATATTGAAAGTTCTACATGTATTTAAGTAAAATTAGAATTTTGTGGGGATCTGGAGAAATAATTTAATTTATTATTCATTTATTTCAGAGATTTCTTTGATGTTTCGAAATGGCGGATAGAATATTTTAATTATAGAAATAAGAGCTACTATATGGTAAGTAGATGTGTAGTTATATGCATTAAGCTGCGGACATTCATGCATATTTCATTGGCGGTAATCACCCACGAACTTACGATATTTACGAGCGTGTTAAGCATCGTGTTGTAAAATCTATTATTTAAGCTATTCATGGAGATAGAAAATCGAGCCGAGGCTAAACTCGAATTGGAAATTTAAAAGTAATGCGGAATTAAAT